GACGTGGGAAGATCGTTCTGCCAATTTTCCATGATTGTCTGGTGGGAACAGGAGCAGAAGCCTGTTCCTCAGCTTAGTTGTGAAGATGGTTGTGTTAGAAAGGTCTGGTTGTCAACATTTGTTCTGCCATAACATGCTGTATGACTTCAATGAAATGAATCTCTTTCTCTCTTACCCTCTTTTTCTTCTATAAACCCCAATACCCAAGCACATTGCCTCCATGGGGATTGTGACTCAGAGCGACCCTGCAACATGGATTGGAACTGTTGCCTAGGATATCACAGGCTGGGGGACCGGGTCTCTGAATCTTTAGGGAAGGAGGGAGGTACAGGTCAGACCTGGGTTTTAGAAGCTTGCTCTGTGCCTGAAGGCAAACTGGAGGGATGCTCTAGATATTTTAGAGTGATCAGGAAGCAGATTCTGGATGGGGACCAAGGGGGAGATGGAGGACTGTACAGACATTTTGGAAGTACTACTCCCTACTTAACTGGAAGGGTCAGTGGTGACTCCGTGGTCGAAATATTACCTTCCATGTGGGAGACATCCCTCCCCCCACCCCCTGCCCCCATCACTCATCTGTTCGTTTGTTGTACTGTGGTGGCTCTGTATTGCTGTCATGCTGGGACTATGTCACTGGTAAAATACCAGCAGGGCCACCCATGGTGAACAGATTTCACCAGAGCTTCCAGACTGAGACTAGACTATGAAGAAGGAATAGGCTGTATTCTCCTGAGGGAAGAGTGCTTCTTAACGACTTAAGTGGAGCAAAGCTTTCCTGATGGGGCATGGCTCAAAATGAGAAAAAACCAGCTGCAAACATTCATTAACAATTAGAATAGGGAATGTGCAAAATACGAATCCAGAAAAAATGAATTAATAAAATGTGAAATGCAACTCATGAAGACTGATATACTACGTATTGTTGTTAGGCTCCATTGAGTCAGTTCCAACCCACAGCGACCTTATGCACTGGTCCTGTGCCATCCCTCCCAATCGTTCCTATACTTGGGTCCAGTGTTGAAGTCACTGTGTCCATCCATCTCTTCGATGGCCTTCCTCTTTTTCACTGCCCATCTAGTTTACCAAGCATGATGTCCTTCCCCGGGTATTGGCCTCTTCTGACAATATGCCCAAAGTATGTAAGATGAAGTCTTGCCATCTTTGCCTCTAAGGAGCCTTCTGGTCCTTCACCTTCCAAGACAAATTGGTACTTTCTATGTTCTTTGCCAGCACCACAATTCAAATGCATCGATTCTTCTGTGGTCTTCCTGATTTACCATCCAACTTTCACATGCATATGATGCAGTGGAGAATACCACGACTTGGGTCAAGCACACCCTCGCTTTTCAACAATCTAAAGAGGTCTTGTGCAGCAGATTTACCTTGTCTTTTGATGTCTTGACTGCTGTTTCCATGAGCATTAACTGTGGATCCAAACAAGACAAACTCCTTGACAACTTCAAACTTTTCTCCATTTTCATGATATTACCTATTGGTCTAGAGTATTTGGGTCTTCTTGATATTGAGTTGTTTTACTGAAAGTTTCAAACCTTGATCTTCATCAGCAAGTGGTTCAAGTCCTCTTACTTTCAGCAAGCAAGGGTGTGTTATCTGCATGTCATCGGTGGTTAATAAGCCTTCTTCCAATCCTGATACTGCATTTTTCATGTAATCCAACTTCTTTGATTCCATGCTAAGCATCCAGATTGAATAAAGATGGTGAGAGGATACAGTCCTGTGACACACCTTTCCTGATTTTAAACCATGGAGTATTCCCTTGTTCTGTTTGCACAACTGCCCCTTGACCCACATGCTAGGCATTAGTGAGCTAACATGGACTGGTATTGGCCATTTTGAATTAGATAGTCATATGGTTTACTATATTGGGAATTACAATTCAAGAGGAATAAAGGACATTTCAATATCTATCTTGAATAGGCTGGATGAACAATCTGGAGGAGAAAACAACCGGGACCGACAGTTCTGGGGGGACATGGGAGAGGGGAAGGTGGGGGGGGGAAAGGAAGTGGGGTTAGCAAACCCAGGGACCAAGAACAACAAGTGATCCAAATTGATGGTGAGGTGGGTTTGGGAGGCCTGATAAGGCATGATCAAGGGTAAAGTAACAAAGAGGAATTGCTGAAACCCTGGTGGGGACCAAGCATGATAGTGGGACAGGAGGAAAGTCAAGAGAAATAGAGGAAAGATCTGGGAGGCAAAGAGCATTTATAGAGGTCTAGATAAAGGAATGGACATATGCAAATATATTTATATATGAGGATGGGGAAATAGATCTATGTGCATATATTTATAGGTTTAGTATTAAGGTAGCAGAAGGACATTGGGCCTCCACTCAAGTACTCCCTCAATGCAAGAATACTTTCTTCTATTAAATTGGCATTCTATGATGCTCACCTTCCCGACACAACCGCTGAAGACAAAGCGGGTGAATAAGCAAATGTGGTGAAGAAAGCTGATGGTGCCCGGCTACCAAAAGATATAGTGCCTGGGGTCTTAAAAGGTTGAAGGTTCCATTAATTTCCACATTGTTGGCCTCCTTTGAAAAAACCAAACCAATCTAGTTGCCATCAAATTAACTCTGACTCATGTTGACCTTGGGAGGAGCTTTGTTGGTGCAGTGGGTGACGCATTGGACTGTGAACCCCAAGATCAGCAATTCGAAACTACCAGCTGCTTCCCAAGAGGAAGATGAGGTTTGCTACTCTTGTAAAGAGTTAGTCTCCGGAATGCGCAGAGGCAGTTTTGCCCCATCCTGCCCTGAATTTTGGGCTGCTCTGAGTGGGAATCGACTCAGTGGCAGTGAGTTTGGTCTTGGTCTTCATGGTAACCTCAAGTGCGTGAATAGAATTATGCTCCAAAGGGAATCCATTGGCTGAGTTTTGGGGAGTAGATCACTAGGCCTTTCTTCTGAGGTACCTCTTGGTGGACTGAGCCGCTCAGTTGGAAGCTGAGCCCATTAACCATTTGCACCGCCCGCCCATGGGCTCACCCGGCATCAACATGGTAAAGGCCAAGACCCCAATGGAAAATGGTCAAGGACAGCTCACATTCAACACAGGAGTGAATGCGCAACCGGCCTTATAATGACAAGAAGTGCAAGTTAAAGTCACAGACACCCTTTTCACCCACCGGACTGGCAAAAATATAAAAGGTGTGTTGGTCAATGAAACACACAATATTCCTCTGGTTCCTTGAGGCTTCCTCACCCCCCACTATCATGACCCTGGTACTGCCTTCCACTGTGGGCTAGACCAGAGCATGTACACAGTTACAGAAAAGAGACAAGAGCTCATGACACACGGAATCCAGGAACAGGAATGGGAGTAGCGATACCTGAAGGGTAGGGGGAAGGTGGGAAGAGGGGGGAGGAAGGGGGAGTGGATCATATGATCGACACATAACCACATATCCCGCCCCCCCTCCAGGGGGATAAACAACAGAAACCATGGGGGAAGGAAGACAGCGGTGGGTGTAAGAAATGAAAATAGTAATAATTTATAATTTATCAAGGAGTCACAAGGGTGGGGGGGAGGGAAAAAAGAGGAGCTGATACCAAGGGCTCAATAAAAAGTAAATGCCTAGAAAAGAATGATGGTAGCATATGTACAAATATACTTGATACAATTGATGTATGGATTGTTATAAGAGCTGTAAGAGTCGGTAAGAGCCCCCAAACAATCTTTAAAAAAGGGTGAATTGGGTGTGATGCGGGCAGACAGACTGTGGATAGCTGATGGGGAGAATGGACTAAAGTCTGGTCATTGTTATAAATAATGCAGAATCCCATGGGCTCCTAACTGGAAGGCTGGGGTCTATGACTACCCAGAGGTATGGATATATTCATACTATGGACACATAGCCCTATCCATTTTTTCTTGTTGTTAACATCTTCCATCACCAGGGTCTATTTGTCATTTCTAAGCGGCCAGTATTAGCGCATCACTATTAAAGAAATGCCACCATTTCTTTGGCTTTCATCTGACCTCCTTTTCCGGCTCATTCCCACAAGGTGTTTCGTTATGGCTAAGAAGTTTTTATCACTTTTCTTCCTGTTTGTTGTACAATGTAAATGGGATCTATTTATAGTGCATACAAGTACATAGGTAGAAGTACACTGCCAATCCCATAGGTCATGCGCGTAGTCCCATTTATCTACCCATACCTGTTAAGGTTGCATGTCTTTCTCTGTATCCACTCAGAGATTATCGTTTGATATTACCGATCCTGCAGTATTGTTTAGCTAATCGTATTGATCTTTGCTGCTGATACCTTTTGTGTTCTGTTCAGTAGCTTCCTTTGCTGTTGTGACGGTGGGCTGAGCACCCTCGGATTGCATATTGCTTTCCCGTCACCCTGTGATCTAGTTAGTGATTCTCTCTCTCCTCTTCTCCCATCCCTCGGTGCCCTCAAAGCATTCTTTCTGTGTGTAAACCTTGCCTGGACTTTTTACGAGTAACGGTTTCAGAGATTATTTATTCACCCTTTTGCGACTGGCCTATTTCACGCAATACAGTGAGTGGCCTCCAGGTTCACCAACGGGATGAGGAGTTTCACGGCTTCTTTGTTGTTCTGGACATTGCATGGCATTCCCCGGGTGCACACAGCCACCAGAGTTTGTTTCTCTCTATCCCTTACACGGTTTCCATGCCTGCTATGGTCAGTCACGCAGCCTCATCACCGAATTCTCATTATTGTGACACTTTCTTGCAGTGGATTCTCTTGTTGACCAACTCAAAACGAATATCTGGCCAAATAGGCATCTTTTCCTTTACATTTCTTCTTCTTCTTCTTCTTTTTAAAAAACTTGTCTAATTGCATTAGCTAGTATCATCAGTAGAACGTTACATGATAGATTGTAATAGCAGACATCCTTGTTTTGCTTTTGACTCATTTGCCCTTGCTTATTGTAGGCTAAAAATGTATCATTCATCTTCTTGCAAATGTGTACACCTTTTCCAGGATGCTCTTTGAGTGCTGTATGGGGCTTTGAGGGCCGTCTTAAAATGACAAAAGGCACAAGGCTGTGTTTTCTTCTAGTACTGAGACATTTTTGCTTTTTAATGTGCGCATCTCTCATCTGCCTTTGATTTTGTCACAGGAAGTGAAGGTCAAGAGAAGGTGGTGAGAGGATGCCGCTGGGTGGCAGGGGGCTGGGGGAGTCTTCACTGCCAGCTTACTTATTGGAGGGGTTGTTGTTCTTCAGGGACGACCTGGCCCTGCTGCCCTTCCTGACCATGTGCATCAAGGAGAGCCTGCGGCTGCATCCTCCCGTCACCGTTGTCTCACGGCGCTGTACCCAGGACATAGAGCTTCCAGACGGCCGGGTCATCCCCAAAGGTGCCCACACAGCAGGGGAGGCCGTCCTGCGTAGGAAGGGGGTCCGTCAGGCGGTGGGGCCTCCTCCTGACCAACTCCTCTTCCCCCACAGGGAACATCTGCTTGATCAGTATCTTCGGGACTCATCACAATCCAATAGTGTGGCCTGAGCCTGAGGTGCTGTCCATGCCCCTCCCCCCACCCCCACCCTGAGACTTGGGGAGGGTGCAGGGCAGATGCCTGGGGCAGGAGCACATTCTTTCTGTCTCGAGAAGCCCGGGTGGCAAAGTGGTTCCGAACTGGGCTGTTCACCACAAGGTTAGCACAGTAGCACAGAAGCAGCAGGCCACCTGTGGGAGGAAGACAAAACTCTCTACTCTTGCGAGAGTTCCAATCTCAGAAACCCACCCGGGCAGCTCCACCCTGGCATGCAGGGTCCCTCTGAGTCGGAATCGACCCTCTGGACCCTAGCCACACGTGTGTTGGCTGAGGGGCCTGGCTGTGCTGGAGAGCCCACCTAGATGCC